TTAAATGCCTTCGAGTCAGTTCCAATTCATAGAGACCCTGTATAGGGTTTCCAAGATGAGCTTGAACCACCGACCTTGTGGTTCAAAGTGACTTTGCAGTTCAGCGCATTAGCCCACAGTACCACACAAAGTATGAGAGATGAAATCTGGCCATTTTGGCTTCTAAAGAGCATTCTGACTGTTCTTTCAACATGTTCTTTTAGTGGTCCATGGTATTTTAAAATTCTCCTCCAACACCATACCTCAAATGCATCAATTCTTCTACAGTCTTCTTTATCCACTGGCCAACTTTCACATGAATATGAAGTTATTGAAAATACCATGGCTTGGGTCAGATGCACCTTAGTCTTCAAACTGACGTCTTTGCACTTGAACCCTTTAAAGATGTCTTGTGCAGTAGATTTGCGTAGTGCCATATGTCATTTGATTTCTTAACTGTTGTTTCCACAAGTGTTAAAGGTTGATCTGGGCAAAATGAAGTCCTTGACAACTTCAATCTTTTCTCCATTTATCTTGATGTTATTTATTGGTCCAGTGTTGTCTTTACGTTGGGGTGCAATCCTTACCAAAGGCTGTGGTCTTTGATCTTCATCAATATTTTAAGTCCTCTTGTTTGTTTTCAGCAAGCAAGGTTGTATCATCTGCATATCCAAGGTTATTAATGAGTATTCCTCCAAACTTCATACCATGTTTTTCTTCATATAATCCAGCTTAACCAATTATTTTCTCAGCATACAGATTGAATAAGTATGGTAAAAAAACAAAACAAAACAAAACAAAAAAAACCAACCCAGTCGCACACCTTTCCTAATTTTAAAGTGTTCAGTGGCCTCTTGTTCTGTCCAAACAACTGCCTCTTAGTCTATGCACAAGCTCCTTATGAGCACAATTAAATGTTCCAGAATACTCATATTTCGTATTGTTGTCCAAGCTTGTCATGATCCACACAATAGAAAGCCTATGCATCACCAATAATGCACAGGTAAACATCTTTCTTGTATTCTCTGTTTTCAGACAAGATCCATCTGACATCAACAATGATATCCCTTGTTCCATATCTTTGCCTGAATCTGAATTGAACCTCTGACAGTTCCCTGTCAATGTATAGTTGCAGCTATTTTTAAATTATCTTTAGGAAAAGTTTACGTGCATGCGATATTAATGATATTACCCCATGATTTCCACATTCTGTTGGATCACCTCTCTTTGGAATAGGCACAAATATGGATCTCTTCCAACCAGTTGGCCAGGTAGCTGTCTTCCACATTTCTTGGCTTAGATGAGTGAGTACCTCCAGTGTCAGATCAATTTTCTGAAAGATTTCAATTTGTGTTCCATCCATTCCTGGAGCCTTGTTCTTGTCAATGCCTTCAGTGCACCTTGGACTTCTTTCAGTATCATTGACCCTTGACCATATGCTACCACTTGAAATGGTTGAACATTGACCATTTCTTTTTGGAACAGTGACTCTTTGTATTCCTTCCATCTTCTTTTGATGCTTTCTGTATCATTCAGTATTTTGACCATTTGTTGTTGTTGTTAAGTGCCGTTGAGTCAGTTCTGACTCATAGAGACCATATACAGGGTTTCTGAGGGGCAGTTGGTGAGTTTGAACCAAAAAATCTTTCAATATTATAAGTTGAGGCTTAATTTTTTTTCTTTCAGTTCTTTCAGCTTGAGAAATGTTAAGTGTGTTCTTCTCTTTTAGTTTTCTAATTCCAGATCTCTTTATGACAGAGTTGAAAACAAAGTTTGCACTAGTCAAAGATGTTGGCTGACTGCAGTTTTGAAAGCCTGTTGTTTTCCACAATCCTGGAAATAATTCAAATCCATGCACCAGACTCCTTGAAGGTCTCACTTTGCATCTTCCATGTCTCCTATTACAGGATTTCAGTCAGTAGCTTTTCCCATTCTGACTATCATTCTGTTTCAACTAAATGAAGAAAGCTGTGTCTTTTTGTATTTTACTTTGTCAGTGTGACTGAAATGATTCAAATGAGTTCAAAGCCCTGATAAAAATATATACCTTTGTTCAGTGCTGTAGGAGAAAGTACTGGATGAAAAGATGGCTCGAACCTCAAGGTCATCAATTCAAACCCACCAGCTGCTCCTCAGAAACCCTATATAGGGTTGTTACATGTTGGAATTGACTCAATGGCACTTAACAACAAAAACAAAGCCAATCTTGAAAGAACCCTTGTGGCACTGTTGGATAAACACTGCACTGCTAACCACAGTTCAGCAGTTCATACCCCCAGTTGTTCATCTCAGGAGAAAGATGAGGTTTTCTGCTCCTGTAAAGATTTACAACCTCAGAAGCCCTATGCAAGGGTCACTATGAATCAGAAGTGACTTGATGGAAGAAGGGAGTGGAAGCCAAACTTGGGTTTGAACCACCAACCTTCTGGTTTGGGGCCTGGTGCCTATGGCTCTGTTGGGGCCAGCTAGAGATTTATAGCAACATCACCAGCTTCTCAGCTGTCACTGACCAAACTGACAGAAATGTGAAATGAAGTCTTTAATAAAGACAAAAACAGACAGCTATTTTTAACTCCTTGAACTGAGAAAATTCAAGTTAAACTTGGGAAAATGGACCCTGGCACTGTTTTGTTGTATATATTTGCACCAGACAGAAACCCCCAACCAAACCCTCTACAGTGAAGTCAATTCTGACTCATAATAACCTTATGGTGGTAGCATGCTGTGGAGTCTGTTCCAACTTGTAACGAACCTGCCCAGAGTTCCCGAGGCTGTAAATCTTTATAGGAGCAGAAAGCCTCATCTTCCTCCCACGGAACAGCTGATAGTTTTGAATTGCTGACCTTGAGGTTAGCAGCCTGACTCCTAACCACTACACTACCAGAGCCAGAGTAAAACTGCACCATGGGTTTTCCAAGGCTGTAGATCTTTGTGGAAGCAGACTGCCACATCTTTCTCTCACAGAGTCACTGATGGGTTTGAACCACCAACCTTCTGGTTAGCAGTCAAGCACTTGAATCACTGTACCAAAAGGGTTCCTGAACCCAAAATTTTAAATGCTCGATATTACAAATGAATCCAGGGTCTTCCCCACATGTCTTCCTTGAAGGAGGAAACAGAACTTTTGTTTAGGTAGCAGGCCAAGATCTCTGAAGAGTGGGAGAGGCCTTTCAGGTACAATAGCACTGACCAGAAAGGCTTTGTAAAAATCATTCTAGTCCTAGTTTATGGATTCGACAATGTTCTCATAAAATATGTGTTTGAATCCAAACCTCAATATCTGTGGATGTAATTTTGTTCTGGAAATAAGTTTTTCTTTGTTGGGTATGCCATAAACCTAATTATTTCTGAGATTTCATAGCGACCTTATGCACAGCAGAATGAAACACTGCCTGATCCTGGGCCAACCTCACTATTGTTGCCACGCTTGAGTCCATCAATGCTGCTACTTGGTCAATCCATCTTGTTGGGGGTCTTCCTCTTTTTCTCTGACCCTCCACCTTACCAAATATGATATCCTTCTCCAGTGACTGGTCCCCCCATGACAATATGTCCAAAGTATAAGACACAAAGTTTGGCCATCCTAGTCTCCAAGGAGTACTCTGGCTACACTTCTTCCAAGACGGATCT